GATAAAAACGATAACAAAATAACGCTGAAAATTGATAAAAACCCTAAAAACCATACATTTCACACCTGAGCCTCTACTCTCGCGGCCCGGTACCAAACAACGGACCGGTACCGGTCCGAGGCCCGGGGGTTGGGGACCGCTGAGTTAGAAGACCCAAATGCCATGTTGCAACACTGGTATAGTAGCCAACATTTCAAATGCAGGTTTTGACAGGTTTGCGAGTGTACACTCATGTTTACTACACAGTGGCTGTGGCTCAGGAGGTAGAGCAGTTCACATATTGATCACAAGGTTAGTGGTTCGATCCCTGGCTCTTCCAGTCTGCATGTCAACTGTGAATATGTATGAACGTAGTTAGGAAGCACTCAGTTTAGAGAAAGTGAGTGTGGTATGTTTGAGTAATCTGGGAGAGTAAACAAGTGCTCTATAAGAGTCGGTCCATTCACTGAGTTTTGTCATGTTACTTTGCACTATTATGCACGTTGTTATTACATGGCTTGATTAAGGTACACATTAGGCTGACATCTGGGGCCAGCGCTGAAACTGTTCTGGCCCAGCACAGGGCCAGTTGTGGACACATTGTTGGCCATGCGTGGGCCACATCTGGCAAACCTGATCTGGGCCACCAAAGGGCCGTCATTCTTTGCGGTATGTGGGCTATGTGTAAGCACATTGTGTGGGCCAGATCTGGGCCATACCGATTTTGCTATGTGGGTAACATCAGGTTTGTTGACAGTGATGATTCCTCTGTTCTGTGCTGAAGTCTTCCTGCTTCTTTTGCTGCCTCAGTATTTTAAAATAAATGCTTAGCGGGGCAGAATGGTCTCATGGGACAATAGAGACATACTGTCTGACATGATGGAAATTATCATCTTCTTTTGCTATAAGGGTTGTGCCCAATTTTGAAAAGACTGTATCCCTTGACATATTTGGAATCATTTCCTTTCCTTTCCTTTAATTACAGGGAAAGCCTCGTCCTGTTGTGACCTGGTATAAAGACGGTGTTCCCATGGAGGACCGCACAGTGGGAACTCGTACCAGTGAAGTTGACACCATCCTCTTTATTCGCTCTGCCGAGAGGGTCCACTCTGGAAAGTACACACTGTCTGTTCAGATTGAAAACATGTCAGACAGCGCTGACATACACATCCAGGTTGTAGGTCAGTCCCTTCACCATGGCAACACCTTCTAAGCTTCACCTAAAGAATGTAAACTCGCACCTCATGTTCTCTCATTAAGATCAGAACATTGCACGTAATTCACAAAGTGCGTGATTAATAACCTTTTTGAAATGGGATGATGGTTCGAGCTTGAATCTGTGACATGTCAAGAGTCTTTTTTTGTCAAATTTGATGATAATTCCTTATTTCATACTCTGAAGGATCTGTGACTCAAAGTAGTAAATCATCAAAGTGCTCAGTCCTCTCTCTCTCACTCTCTTATAATCCTGGCTCCTGCCTCTGTGGCCGCCAGCTCATTCCCCAGCTTACTGCTCGTCTCCGCGGGTCAGGGTTCTGGGTGGATTATTTGGTGGGGCTCTGCTGAGATTATTTGCTTATAGACTTGGATTAGGTTTGGATTTTGAGGGCTATTCTGTCACTTCCTCTGCTGAGAAGGTTGAGCTAATAATGAGAGGCTCTGATCCCCCCCTCCTCAGTTGGTCTGTCACTGTACTCGTTTAGCAGGAGACAGTACAGGAGGGATTAAAGGGGGAAAACAGAAGCAGTGCTCACAGTTTGTACTGTACTCCGAAAGAAAAGAGTGTTCACAGCAAGATTAATGAGACACACACTACTATGTTGCACTGTTTTCTTTACTGCACTGTGTTTGGTGAAGGCCACAGAGAAGGATCAGTGATAAATACACTGCATTTCTCTGCTTTATTATCAAGGCATACTGCTTCTTTGTTACGTCTATGCCAACAGTTTTTCTAGTTATGTATGCAGCTATCACCGCCTTCCCTTGATCCTATTGTCTTTTGCTCTGCTAATCTGTCAATCTTTCTAATCTGTCTAATCTGTCAAATCTCTACGGCTGCAAGTGTTGATTTCTTTCTCTCACTGGGACTTCCCTGCTCCATATCTGTTTGTACATTTCTCCCTCTCTCAGCCTCCAAAAGCCTTGCCAACATCTATGTCTAGGCAAAGAAGAGAGTTATCTCAGCCAGCTATGCATGCGTGGAACATTTTTTCACCACCCTTGAGCTGTGCAGTTTAATGAACCTGTCTTGTTCATAGTTTCACACAAAATCCTCCACCTGTATCTCGACTCTGCCACTTCTCACAATCCCACCAGAAAAGCCGGGTCCTCCCATCGCCGTGCGTGTCACAGATATCTGGGGCTTCAATGCTGCGCTGGAGTGGAAGCCGCCTAAAGATGACGGCAACTGCGAGATTATTGGCTACACCATTCAGAAAGCTGACAAGAAGACTAAGGTATGCATGACAGAGTTTACAGGTGGTACTGAGAGGGTTTGTCAAGCAAGGTAATTCGCTAATAATAGTGCTGGAGGCATGCAACTCTGGAGCAACAGTGTCTTTTAAATTATGCATCCAAGTACAAGTTGAACCAAATTCTTCTGTGTTTTGTTTTTAATGTCACTGGGATTAGATTTAATTGTTTTGGCCTGACATTTTCTATATTGTGGTTTGCTAAATGTTAAACAGCCAGGCACGCGCCATGAAGATCAGTCCTCCTTTGGGATGTTGCTTTTGTTGACATTAGCTGCTGCAGAATACATTTGGAACGATCACACACTGTCTCATGTGTGTCTGATCATCAGAAAAGAAACAGAATGTAAAAAACCCCAGAAAATGCAAGCGTAAACTTTCTGTAACTACAGAAACAAAAACTGCACCTGATTTAAATTTGACCCATCGGGGTCGCCTCCTTGTGCACTTCTGGATCACTTCCAGAGCTCACTTTTCAACTTCTATGTTGAACTAACCCAAGTTTCATGTTAAAAAAAGGCATCAATTTAATCTTATATATAT